GACACAAATGCAGCACACTGATTATATATGAGAGAGGCAATGGGATAGTGGCAAGCATATGATTGTCCAACTTCTTAGTTTTCTTTAGACTTTATCTCCACTGAGGTGGGTCCTGCATTTATTAATTATTCCCTTTAATCCTCAGTAGGTAAACTTTAAGATTTGCTATTGCTTCCTTTTCATTATTTTCCCTTAAGCTACAAATTAATTGTTGAGTATTTTATAATAGGATTTGCATATTAATAATTATAATTGAATGAAAGTCTTCTGAAAACATCCAGCTTACTGTCATTTGTATAATTCTGTATGTACAGCTGATAGAAGTTTCTTTGACATTCTCATTACCTTATTTAATTCTCACACCAAATTGGTGAGGTAAGCTGTTGTTGTTATTAACAACTTTCTCATATTGACCAGAGAGTGAGCGGCTTGCATATGAGGCACTGCACGTCAGTTTGGAGTCAAGACAGAAGATATCACCTTGTGGGGGCACCTTTTCCCTTCTGGTACCTTGACCTATACCTGTATTTAAATGGCCAGGCTGTTCCCTGTTTTATCTGCCTACTTCCTGAGTTCCAGCCCGAAAGCCCTCAGGACTGAGCTTTGCAGATCTAATTTCTTACTGCTTTCTAAATCTAAAAGTCAGGCACTCACAGGAAACATTGCCAACTATTTGAAAGGCTTTTTTTGACACTTGGGTTTGATGAATGGGGTTTCACTCTAGGTAAAAGGGAGAGATGCTCTATTAAACCATCTGAAAACCCTGCTTTGATTTCTAAGCCTCTTCTAGCAGATCCGCTTTCTACAAAACTGAAGTTGTGATTTTAGAGGCATTAGGAAACCTCCATCCTCCACTTTCCTTCAAACTGGCTTTCCCATTTAAAAGATGTACTCTTTAACAACTGATGCTGCAGTAACTGGTTAGATACTTGGTGAAATTGTCAAATTTCCATAAAAATTGATACTTTAAAATGTAAAATGTGAAATAATGAAGCAGTGACAAAGAACTAGAAAAATGATTTGATGAAAAGATATTCTAATTTTTAGTATGCAATTTCTTTCTTGGCATAAAAGGTAAGGAATAAATGATAAAAGAATGATTTGGTTTAGAGATATAAAAATTTAAAAAAACTTTTGTACTCATCAAGATATTATAAATTGGGCCAAGAAAATTGTAAAACATTTTGGTAATTATGTCAGAAAAAATTTAATATTCTAAATATAGAGAGAGTACTTTTCCACATAAATAAGGAGCATTCCAACTCACCACAGCCCTTTGCCCTTTTATAGACAAGGGTCACAAAACCCAAATCATCGTCATCATCATCATCAATCATGCTAATTATACTAGCTAACACTTACTGAGCACTTCCCCTGGACTTTATGTTTGGTAACCTATCTAATTTTTCCTACAAACTTTTGAGGAAGTGCAACGGACTGAGTGATTGTACTGTCTCTGTCCATATATGTGCTGAAATTCCAACCCCAAGGTGATGATACTAGGAGGTGGGGCCGTCGGGAGGTGATTTGCTCATGAAGGCTCTGCCTTTTAGAAGGTAGTAGTGCCCTGATAAAAGAAACTTAAGACAGATCCCTCACCCCTGCTGCCATATATGGTTATGGGAGAAGACAGAAGTAGTTAAAGAAGAAATGGGCCCTCACCAGACATCGAATCTGCCAGTACCTAGATCTTGGACTTCCCAGCCTCCAGAACTGTGAGAAATACATGTTTGTCGGTTAAGCCACGCAGTTTATGGTATTTTGTTATAGCATCGGAGCTAAGACAAGGAGGCTCACTTATTCCCCATTCTACAACTGAGGTAATTAAGACTAAAGAGGCCATTGGGTAATTTACCCAAAACAAATTCTTTTTGTAGGAAAATGTGTTACGTTTCCTCTTTTAGCAGTTAGCAAGTGGCAGAGCCAGAGTTAAAACCTAGGATATCCAGTTTCAGAATGTGCACCACTTAATTTCTTCCCTTAAGAGTCAAGACCAAGAGATTTAAAAAGGAATACAATCAGCCTAAATATATGAAATAGTTAAACTTAACTAATAAAGTGAAATTTAAAATTTAAATAATAATGGCACATCATTTTTGTTAAATTGTCAAGACTGATAAATACCAGTGAAGGCAAGGGTGTATGGAATGCTTTGCCAAGACTATATAATTGAATTAATTTATAAATATTCAAAATGAGGCTTACATTTGAGCATATGGTCTTAAGAAAACATTCATTTTTAAAAATTTATTTTAAGATAGTAGTCAATGATTTACATTAAAATACATGTTCAAGGATAATCATTATAGTGATTCAGCTCATCTCAGGTAAAGTCTATTTTACAAGCATGCGCCCTGATTCTGGTGCCACTGGTCAGGAAAATAGTGGACCTAAAAAGAAAAAAACAAACAAATAAATAAACAACAGAAAAAATAACAGACCACTTTGCCAGAAATAACCAATTTTGTTGGGCTTGTGATTTGATCAGGATTGAATCCTTTCATTGTCAAATCTCATTTTTTGTTTGTTATTGGAAATGATCAGACTTTTCCTTGCCTTTCATTGACTTTAAGGGTTGACGAGATATCATTTGCAAAGAGATTTCATGTTAAATCACTCCATTGACTTTGCAAAAAATTTGTTTTTAAAAAGTTATCAGCTTGTAAGTAATGACTAATTCTTCCAAATTTACCTGTTTCATAAGCAATTATGTATTTTATGGCAAGAGCCACAAAATGTTGATATTACAGCAATTTGTGCAATTATTTTTTTTTTAACCTTACTTAACATTTTTAATTTATCACTGTTTAATTAATCTTCAGGCTTTGAACACTTTCAGTCTGGAGCCTGATTTATACCTGTTTGTGTAAATGGACCTCTTGAAAAGGGTATGTTTTATAGAAGTTGATTGTAAGTTCCAGTGCATAGGCCTATCTTATTTTACTGAATGTTTGGTTAACAAACCACTTGGGCATCTCTTTGTTGCGATACAGGGTTTCTCAACTGTGGCACTATTGACATTTCAGAGCAGATAGCTCTCTGTTCCCAGGATCTGGCCTGTGAATTGAAGGATGGTTAGCAGCATGCACTACCCACTACCTGCCATTAGCTTCCAGGGTGACACTTGAAAAATGTCTCCACACATTGCCAGATTCCCCAGCGTGGAGCATGAAAGGACTTCTGGCTCAAAACCCATGGTATAATAGAGAATAAATCAGCCTCAATTTGGGGCAGGTGGAACAAAGAAATAAAAAGAACAACTGGGTAGAAAAGTGTTTCTAGTTTTGTGATGCCTAAGGAACATAAAAATAATGTAATAACTCCATTGTACAGATAGGAGAACAAATGATCAGGAGTGCCATAAGGACGGAGTATCTGGGCTGTGGTAAATACTTGAAGTTTATTTCCTTATCTATCAATACTGGTAACAAGAATGCTTATCTCTTGGAGTTCATATGAAGATTAATTTATGTTATGTCCTTAGAAGAGTAACTGAATAATGTAATCTATCACTATTATGACAATTACCTTCTTGATTGAATATAGTAATGTAAGAGGCAACAATTCTAAATCATTTAATCAAAGTGAAGATTTGGGGTAATCATGACTATAAAGTCTTCTATTTTAAAAACGAGTTCCAAACAAAACCCAAAGCCAAAAAACAAAAACTTTAAATCTGTGGTAGAATTAGTGGAAAGTGAATTTTGGGGAGTAATTTTGCCAGCACGTGCCCTGTGTATATGTTGTATAATTTAGGTCCTGCTATTTCAAAAAAATACAGGAGGTCGTTTCGAGTGTATGTACATAATATAAACCATGTTATTAAAATAGTGGATGTTTACAGATGTGTAGAAATAGACCTATGTCACCTCTCTGAAGTGTTTTAGAGCTGGCCAGCAAGCAACAATCTATACATTTTAAAAGAAACTCAGTTTTCATTTTGGCAGTAAATGAAAGCTGATTTGGGAGAAATCTCAGATCATTGTCAAGAGGAGACCAGGGAACTGTGCTTCCTCTTTAGGAATGTTTTCATTCTAACAGTATCAGGTCCTGGAAGACTCAATGTCTATAAAGCAAGGACTCTGGCATCGTGATAATTATGCCTCCAAAGGAAATACAGGAACAGGCGTTGTCCCAAAGGAAGGTGTTTACACACCCACACACCATGGGTCAAAGAATATTAGTTGTCTTTCTTTAATGCCTGTATTCAATATTCACAATACTATACAAAAAAAGACCCCCAATAAAAATATATTCTCTCTCTCTCTCACACACACATACACACACATAATTATTGGCTGAGGAGAAAATTAATCGGAGGACTGCAGAGGGCTGCCTAGACAGTTAAGTGAACAACCGCAGATTCATGGTCGGCCTGGCCTCGGAACCTTTTGACCACTTTGTCGGGTGTCCGGTTGGCTGATGGTCAGCGTGTGTCAAGATAAGAGGGAAGTTCTGGTTTTTATTCCCCATAGTCCCAGGGCGCACCCAGAGAAACAGCATTGAACCCGGGACTGAGAGGAAGGAAGTAGAGACCTTGTGAGTTGGGGGTGGCGGCAGCAGCGCCTCCGGATCCGTCGCCCCCGTTTCCCCACTCCGGGCCCCTGGGCTGCGGGACCAAGTGACTCCAAGAAAGGAGCGCGGGCACCTGCCAGGCGTCCCTGCGGCCGCGCGGGGCGCACTCAGAACCGCGGGGCGTGGGAGCCCCCTCTTCCTGCCGCGGGCAGCACGAGGCTGCGAGCCGAGCCCGGGACTCGAGCCGCTCGGAAGAAGACGGGACCAACCCCGGACCGCGACTCCGCAGGATCCGGGCTCCGAGACACGCGTGGAGCCGGCGGACAGACCCCGCGCACCCTCGGCTGTCCGCCCTGGGCACCGGCGCTCCAGCTGCGCCTAGTTCCTGGCCACAAGTTTGCCTCGAGTCAGCCAAGTTGGCGAGTTCGAAGCTTCTCCAGGCTTTAGGAGGAGGGTCCCTGCTTCTCGCTTCAGCCGTTCGGGGAATGGCCGGGCTGGGGGCGTCGCTTCTCGTCTGGGGGTGGCTGATGCTCGGCAACGGTCTCCTCGCCAGAGCCCAGGTAAGATCCAGTGCTCCGAGGCACCTGCTGCCCAGAGCCTTGGCGGGGACTCAGCCGT